CTTAGAAGTGATGTGGTGTGATAATTCTCACTTTTCTTATTTTATTCCACTTGAACACCTCATATACTCTACACATAAGAAGCAGGCAGGTGAGTAACTACTGTGTGAAATGCAGAATGCCACCAGTACAGCTTGAGAAAATACCTTTGAAAAAGCATCTGTGACGATGTGGGAAATCTCTCTGTGTACAAAGCAGGAATCCTGGCTGTGGTTATGAAACTGCTGTATCATTAAATACCTCAGGGGATGTGAAATCAGCCATATGCTGTCAGGGCTGAGTCACATATGTCTCAGACATGGGTCTATGGAAAACAGCCCACCCTGGCAGCTCCCAGTGCACAGGGAGAAGAAAAGGACAATGGGGTGTCTGAGCCAGACAGCAATCAATTCATCCAAACTCTTCCTGCAAGACAGGGTTTGAAGCTACAGAATTTTCTCCCAAAAATGAAACAACTGGACCTCAAAAACTAAAGCATTTGGGAAATGTCATGAATCCCAGAGAGACAGAAAACTTGTGCATGGAGAAGGAAGAGTGAGCAGTGCTTGGCTAACTGTGGGCCAAAGGAGAAGGGAACTGGCTGCAAAACTGAGACACAGACAGGTATACAACATGATCTAGAAAGGTTCTGTACAGAGCTGGGTGGCACAGAGTGCACAGAGTGTGCCCAAAACAACATTCAAAACTGAGGAAGGGAAGTGTCAGTGTTTTCTCATCTGTATGGTACACCCCAGCTAGTAGAAAGAATCATTGATTTCATGAAATCAAGCACCCCTATGCTTGTCTGCTTCAACTCTCACATCTTTCTAAGAGGTGAACTATAAACCCTGAGGGAGTAAAAGGGGGACCCAAAGGAAATGATGTGTTTAATCTTTCAGAGAATGTCAGGACACAGCTGCCCTTGGGGCGGGGGGGATGTGCAAGCAGCCAGCGAAGTCTCACATTTACCAAGGAATAGAAGACAAACAATCCTGACTGGAAACTGAACTGGGGACAAAGCTGCTTCCAACACAGATCACAAAGGTGAGAGGTGTATGGGCTTAGACAGAATGGAAACAAAGCAATCCAGTCCATTTCCAGCACACTGGACATTACAAAGCCTGGGACAAGCCTGTGTTTCTTCTCACTGTTGCATCAGCTGAAAATTGCAGGTCAGTTGTTAAATTTTCACTTTCAATAAAAGTTAACATAATTATGATGATTTTAGGAAACCTTCCATACAGTCACACTTACAAATGGCACTTCATTACAGAAGTGCTCTTCATTAAATAATTTAACAAAATTTGAGCTGTTACTTGTCTATTTTTCCCATTTTTTTAGTCAAATACCAGAGAAAGATTTCCTGCCTGAGACAAGTACTTCTTCCTAATGGAATCTATATTCTTCCACATATTGTAAAATCACACCCAAACTACTAAACTGGAATTTCAAACCATCTGTAGATATACCAGGACAACATTCAGCATTGCTTTCCTCACATTATAAGTAACTAATTTTGTCCTTGACTTCTTTACTCATAAGAATCATTTGACTACAGCTTTTCAAGATAATAATTTGCATTTTTAGTATTTTCAACTCCTCTTCATTATTAGGTACTTCTTATGTGTTCTTAGAAAAAAAAGTATGAGGGTGCATTGTCACTGTCTTCTTTCTCTCTGGGTGGAGAACCGCAAGCAGGAACTTTGGAAATCACACATTAGCAGAACATTCAAGTCAAACCACGTCCAAACAGCTCTGCCTGCCCCGCACTTCAAAGCACTGGCAAGGCCTCACTCAGTGTCCTTCCAAGGTTTGCTTGATTGCCACAGTGGTGAATCATGACCATAAAAGAAGCTGTGTGAATGTTGGTTGGGTTTTTTTTTCCCTCTCTACACAGGAAACAATAAAACAGTAATAAAAAAGTAAGGTCAAGACAGAACTATAGAATTATTCTTCAGCGAGATCTAAGTGGCCAATTTTTCTCCACCTGGGACGCCCAGTCAAAACATTTGTTATTGAAGACTTCACTGTGACTCACTTGTTAAAATTCCAGATACAGATTTAACTCACCCCTGACTCTGACAAACAAACAAACTCTGAAATATTTTATATTATCAAATCTGACAGAGTTTGATATAACTCACTGAGAGCACTCTGCCTTCTTTCAGACTTATTACTCAGAAAAAAAAATTAAAGCATGGCAAAATTTGTGTCACTTAGCCCTCAGAAAATTGAATGTTTTGTAAAATTACACGTCAAAGCTAATGAAGGAACTATTAACATATATCATGAATTTGCATTACCCCAAATTCTGATACAGAGATTATGAAATCTTTGTCTTTGCTTTGGAAAGGCATTTCAAGGACTGCCACCAGTTTCATACTAAATGAGAAGGTATTTATGTCCTCAAACGAAATTGCTCATCTGTCCAAACTTTTCAAAGCAAACCATTCTTCAAACTCTATGGAAAATCTTGCAATATCTTGTTTTGTACAATATTTCACCTGAAATATTTTCTCTACATCGTTTCACTTTTTGTTTGCTTACAGATATAAACCCGATTTTCATTTCAAGTGCATAAAGGAATGCACTTACTCTAGTGTAGGACAGGATATGCTCTAGCAAATCTTAGTTGCTGTGTTCTAACTTTCAAAAAAATCAGTCTTAAAGGACAGATAGTCAGGTATGAAAATACTAGGAAATTTAAGACTTCTGTGCAGCATTAGATATCACCCATTCAACTGTCAGTCCTACTTAAAAACCTGTTTTTATTTAATAATTTTCAAAGTAAGCATTAACCTAATAAACAGCCTTCGTAGACAAATTTTACAGCTTCAGCTCTTGTCTAGATTAAGAACATTGAAATTTAAAGATCATGAAAATGTAAAGGTAAAGCTGTAACATTTCAAAGAAAAGACCTCCTATTTCCTGGGAACATAAATCTGTATGAAATGTGTTTGCTGTTGACAGGAGCTGATGAGAGCCAAATGGATTCAGCATTAATTTACAATTGTTTCAAACATACATAATACAGAATATTACGCCAAAGTCAGATGAGAACAGCAAAGCTCCTTTACAAAATACAGCTATGTTTAACAATTTCCATTAAGTTGGTTTTTGGCACCAGAAAGATTCCTATGACCCAGTTTCCACCTGCTTATTGACTTTATATACCATCCAAAGTAAAGTACCAAATGGGAAACTGCAAAAGGTAACAAACCAGGAGGTTTAGAACAGTTTGCTGTGTGTATGACATTATTTCTCCACTTAACTTAGGAAAAGGCAAATACTTAGGGGTTAGGAAAGCGATGGAGCCTGTGGACATTACAGCTCCTCAGGGAAATGTGAGTTAGGAAGCTGGCTGATTCTTGTTTTGACAATTTATAGCAGCAAACAAGTAATCACAACAATTTATTATGGTTGCTATAAAAATCCCAATATTTTTATATCCCTGCCTGTGGGTTTCACATCATTAGGAATACAAGAGCCACCAATTCAATAACAGGTAATGCAGACAGAAATATTAAATTCCACATCCTAGATCATTTTCAAACAGATGGCTTCCTAATGGCTTTGTTTGTTGAAGTAAAACTCTGCTTAAGCTTGTCAGGGGAAGATTGTTTAACTGAAACCCTATTTAATCATTTCCAATTGTATATGTGCAAAACAGTTCAAGCTAATGCACGGTAAGTTAGGAGATTTCATGCTGCAAATGTGACACAATATTGGCAAGTGCAACAATGGCAAATTTATAACATTTCAAATAGAAAATTCCCCCAGGAGGTAAAACTGATGTCTTAAAATTCTGGGGAGAAACACACTGCCGACTGCCCCTTGTGTGCAGCCTTTCAAAAAGATTTATCTCAGTCTCTTGCAGCCTCCCAAGAAATGTCAGCAATCAAATCCACTACAGCCACTTCAATTGCACCTGTTTGCACAAGACTGGAACTCTGACTTGTCTGAAGTTGATTTAGTTTCCAGAATCTCATTAAATACTGCTATTTATTGACCCAGTCATTTTGAAAATCAATGGGTTTACAGAGGCCTGTGCAAAAGCAAAATTAAGCTCAGCCCTAAATGCATTTGGTTTGGGTGTCCTGTTTATTAATTTGGTCTTTTCATTAAAATGCATTTAATAAAAAGCAGTTATTTACTTACTCTATACAAAGTCCCTAAAGATGCACCATAGTATTTTTAAATGGAGGTCCAAGAAATTACAGTATGCTTTTGGGAAAGAAATATTTTAAATATCCATGTGTTTGTAGCAGAAGTTTTCAGGAAGGTCAAAGCAATAAATCTTTGGAAACCCTGGCCTTAATGTCCTAATTAGGTCATCCTGAAATAAAATGTAACTTGTTACATCATTTGGCTCTTCCGCAAATAAGGATGATATTTTCTTAATTCCCATTTATTTATTACTTTAATAATTGTTAAGCACCAGACTGTAAAGGGAAATTTGCTTTGTACTTAAAAATAACTTAAAATAGTTGGTTTAAATACACTTTCCTTGCCTGGTACCTTACACCAAAGGGAAAGTTTGCTATTTAAAACAACTCTGGTGTTTTAGCCACACTCACATTTTGATGTGTACCTTCATCATAAGGGACTTGTCATTACTGTCAGTAATGTCAAGCATTGAATTATCAATCACAAAGTCCAACTCATTTGCATATAGTCCCTCATAAAATCAAAATAATTCAGTGTTATCATGGGTTAAAGGTTAGTCTGAGAGTTTTTACTGCAATATTTATAGATCACATAATTCCTACAATACCATTAGTAGCATCTTTCTATCCCCTGATCTTGGAAATCTACACTACAGAAACTAATTAAAGATTGCTTTTTTAAAAAAATACAAAGGAAAGCTATTTGTATTTTTACTTTATATTATCAAATCTCTTCTTAGTATACTTAAGGAGAAAGAACCTCAAAGTGCAGCAGCATGTTAGGGGGTGTTTCAATACTGCAATTCCATCAGCCCTGCTCCACCACACTTTGCCTTTTCTATCCCCCCTTTCTTTACCTCCAAGGCTTCAGAAGGTGTTCAAGTCTTCCCATCACACTCCATCTCCAACAATGGCCTTTGTCCCATTGTCACATGAGGGTCCAACAGCCCAGCACTAGGACAAGAAATCTTTCTTTAGAAGCTCCTGTGACAGTAAAGTCCCACACATGCCCACACACTGCAGCTTCAGGACAAGGGAAATGTGTGGAAACTAAGAATTGTTCACCTTTCAAATTGAGAGCATTGTGTATGCAAAGACTCCACAAGATTTAATCAGAAGATTTAATTACATTATTTCAGTTTAGAGAGGTGATGTTCTGTTGCAGCAATCTAAGACTGCAATTTGGAAAAAAAAAAGGCAGTTGAAAGTCAGAAGACTGTAAATGCTAAAATTAATCTGCATAAAAAATCCCTCTCTTACTGTACACATTCTACACTGCCATCACAGCAAAGCATTTTTAAACTACACACTGTAAATTAAAAAAAAAAAAGGATTACTTATGTATGGTTCAACTTGCCTAAATTATTTAGGACCAAATCAAGTTCAAGTAATGACTTACTTGAGGTGCTTCTATTTTCGAATCAAATACTGCACTTTGCAGACAATGCAAACAATACATGAAGAATTATGCCCTGAGCAATTTAAAAATATTTTTTTAGAGTTTATTACTTTTCTTTGTGAGCCCCAGAGATTTTTTCTTTAGACTCAAAGAACTTTCTCTGCCTAAATAATATATTTTATGAGTTTCTACTCTGTGCAGTTGCTAAACCCCAGAACACTTCCAAACCACCTTTCTAAGCCTTCTCTTGGAGATATCTGGCTCACCAACAATATGTGTAGTTGGCAGAATGTATGTGACCTTTAAAAATGAAATCTTAACTTTCTGCTTAGAAGTTCTAATAAGTCCAAACAATGCACAAGAGAAAACACTGTATTGGAATAAAACAAAACAAAGGCTTTGTTGAAACTTTTTAAAAAAATCTTGAAAGTTAAATTAATGTTAAAATTTTCATTCAAAAAATAAAACTATAAGAATAAAAAGAGAGTGTAAGAGGAAGCTGAAATAACAAATAAATTGAAGTGCTGTTTCTTCTTTGGTATGCTCTCTGTTCCACACAAACATTAATGCAAAAATAGGAGGGCAAATTAGATTATTACAACAAAAGAAACCAAAAACCAAATTCAACTTACCCCCATTTTTAATGCAATCAGAGCATTATAAACAAGTGGCCTGGACCTTGGAGTCCTGCTCTGCCTGTTAGGGAAGACTGAGCACACTAGATAGGAACTGAAATTAGTCTGTCTAGAACAACTGACCACATGGAACAGCAGAAACCTTTCTCTTTGTGCTTACATGATGCTTAAACTACACCAGGAAAATATTACAAGAGAACTGTAGCAGACTTAAAATGTCACTGGAAAGTATTTTTGCATATTTATTCAAGGACTTCAAAAAACTTAATGCCATTTCCTACAAATATCAAGATGAAAAGCTGTGTGGCCCCAGAGACCTCCATTCCTGCACAAACACACACACAGTGTTAACCAAGAGAACCTGCTCTAGGATTTCCAAGAATAGCTAATTGAATTGTTCTTTTATTTCATCTCCCCTGTCCCCTCCCAGCTGGATTATTCCTGTGTAGTATTCCAGCTGCACAGAAAAGCAGCCTCTGTGTAGCAGTGTAACTCCCCAGGTTAGGTTTGCAGTGAATATTTACCTGCTTGACCTCAGACATGCTTTCCTTGCCTATTGTTGGGAAGACCTCTCAAAAAATAAGAATTTGTCTTTTTTTGCCTGAGGCCACTGCTCAGAGGAAACTTCTGTATGAAACCTCTGACATTAAATTAACTTCCAAATGCACACACACTCAGTACATGTTGTTCAAACCAACATTCTCACCCAATGAACACACATTTCTAACTTCATGCTCTCTGCTGGGAGTTTACAATGCCAGGAAAAGCTGCACTATAGGTCTTTTCAGGACAAGAAGGCAGGAGGGGGCAGGGGGGAGATCATTGCATAAGCTAAGATTCTCTAGCACAACACCCCCCTATACATTTAATTAGTACACAGGATAATGCAGTTTAGTTAAAACACTGGGGAGACAGAGGGGAGGGGAAAGGCCAAGGCACAAACCCACGGCAGTTCACAGTGCAGCCAGATCCTGGAGTGATTGCAGACACACAGATGAGGCACAATATCTTTAAGGGTGTATGGTCATATTTGTCAAATGAAATTGAAGAAAACAGTCAAACCTGATTCTGTCAAACAGTGTATAATAGATGTAAAAACAGTTAATTCACCATGTATTGCTTTTATGGACAAATTTCACATCATAAATAAGTCTTAAATTCATATAAGAAATTATTCATTTCATGTGCAATAATACCTCACATAAAAATAAAATATACTCCTGGAGCTTAACTGAATTCAGGCTCAGAGTCATATGGGACATGTAACTCTTACCTCCATAATACAGAGGGAGAAAGTAGAGACACAGATGGGTTCAAGTGTCTTGCCCAATGTCACCCTAAAACTGGTGGCTAAGCTGATGGTGACAAAAATCAGATTATCCAGCACTGTCCTACCAGGAAAAAAAATTTATCTGTTTCATAAATAACAGAGCAGCTCAGAAGTGTTTCTCCACTTTGCCAACATTGTGGATAAATGTTGGCAGTGTAAATGTGTGGAATTTGGCATAGAGCCTCTTTCCTTACAATGTGTCATTCATCCTCATTTTTAGCATTTCAGTGGCTGTTCCTTTTAGGTGGCTATTAAAGGGAAGAATAACAGAACAAACCCAGACAATAGGACACTTATATTACACTAATGAAACATAAGTGAAGTAGAGCATCCTCCAGTAGCTTTGGAGCATTGGAACAGCTCTACAGTAACCACCAGATTAAGTGCTGGAGTCATTCTAGTCCTCTGATTCTCTGAAATATTAAAATTTTGGGGGTTATTTTGCTGGGAAAATGTGAAGTTCTTTGTGATATGATTTTATAGTAAACTGAAAGAAGTGTCAGTAAAATTGCCAGAGCAATTACTCCATACAGAGCTAGGAAAAATAGGAAACACTGTACCACTTCCCCTTATAATGCTGTAAATCTTCACAGGTTCCCTAAAGAACCATCCTCAACCAGGAACTTTAGCTATTAGCTATGTATTTAGATATTAAATTCACATTTACAAAAAACTTTAACCTCTGCAGGTTTAAGTGGCTCAGTTTCACTCTATGTACTGTCCAACCCTACATAAATCAACACTGAGTCCCCAGCCACAGCTATTTACATATAGTTCCAATAATCAAAGATTTCTGTATTTTGAGAATAAGATTGTGGTACAAGAATTAAAAGCACTGTGGAGACAAGTAAGGAATCCCTTAAATTGTATCTTATTCCACATTGAGTTTGAAAATACATTTGTGAGCTGCTCTAGTTAAGTTGTATGCTGCTGTATAATCCTCCACAGAGCGGAAATACAAATGAACTTAAGGAGAAGAAAAAGTCATAATTCATATTTGTTACAAAATCTGAAGTATATATGAAAACACAGATCAAAAATTTTGCAGATTACCACCAACCATGAACTTCAGTGTTAAAGTTGTGACAAACATCCTAGGGTGGAACACAGACAAATCACTCCATGAAGAATTGCTTTAGTTTCAGACCAATGATTTCCAGCAGCTTCCCAGCTTCCCAGCTCGGGATTGTGTGGAATATGAGATTCAGTAGCACGTATGGCATGAGAGCTGGGCGTTGGACAAGGGAACTCCTGCAGCTGCTCAAACTCTGAGCTCTGCATTTGTAGCTCCCAATCAACTCAGAGCTAAAGGCAAAGAAAGCCTTTCAGAGCATGAAAGGTGCGAGACAGTTGCAGCCACGTGAGAGGGAGCTGGATCCCAGAGCAGTGCATGAACTGGCATGTCTGAATAGGACTGAGTGCCAAGTGGCTCTACAGTGATTTAAACAGAGCTCAAACTTCAGGAAATGAAGGGGGAGTGGGAGACTGTGCTTTTGAATGTGGCATAATATTATTCAATCACTAAGCCATTACTTTCTTCTAATGAAATACAAGTAAAGCACTCCAGATTTTCAAGTCAACTGTGTCAATTCTCCAGCTATTCTGTTTAGATATTCAGAATTTTATAAGGGTTGTTGAGTCCCTGCCTTGGTTTTATTATTAAGCAGATACTGTGTATCTATGATTATGGATGCTTTAACTTATTTATATTACCCATTTTTTCCATTCCAGTTTCCAGTACTAATTCAGTTACCTAAAAGCCAGCCATGCTGAAATGGATCCACCCATCCAGAGAGATCAGTGGCACAGTCCTTATTTTCTCTTAGGTTCATTCACAGTGATTTCTATTCCACAGAATAAAACATCTGGAACATGGTAGCACTCTCAGTTTGTTATCAACAGTAAGAACTCTCTGCTGCTTGCACTTCAAGCTTTGATAATTCAGTGTGATGATTTTTTTCAGTTTGAATGTGGGTAGATCTTAGTAAGACTCTGCTGATCTGCAGTAAACATCCATACCTGGTAGGTTCACAATACACAGAGCAAGAGCAGCAATTTACATCCCACTACAGCAAACATTTTTACTTTTTAATTTTTCTAGATTGCACTACGTTAAACTTGGTGTGCAACTCACCTCTCCTTGGAGGAAACTTGAAAATGGTGTAACCTTTCAGCCAGACACAACCCTAAACCTCTCTGAAATGCAAATACACCTCAGCATTAGGAAAAAAAGCTAACCCCCAAGTCTCCTGAACATGAGTTAGCTTGCACTTCTGTTACACACAATCCTAGACGAGTGTCAGCTTCCTGCTGTTTTTTCCCAGAAGTTTCCACAGTTGGACTGTTTGCAAATACAACTTCAGTCAGGTTTATGGGCCAAAAAAGATCACTTACTCTGTTCTGTTTCCCACAGTATTGGGATGTCAATGCTTGGCCTTGTTCTTCCTGAGCATATCATATCCACATCTGGAGTCATCACATACTTACACTTACAGCTAGACATTTTCATGTTTTATTTTTAGAATGTGCCTTGCAACATAACCAAGCCCTCCCCAAACCATAAAGGAATAGAACTTGGATATTCTCTTCAAAGAAGACTGCTAAGACAAGCATGTCTTGTTGTCATGATGTCTCTCTGCAAAATCTGCTAACACCCTCAGTAATTATCTATAAACTGAAAAATTAAGCAGAAAACTGAAAAATTTGGAGTATATATAGAATCTTCCAGCTGTCTCAAAGAAACACACAGATAGGAAACCTATTAGGAATGCTCAATAAAAAAATATTTCTCACTTTTACAAATTGAAATTAAATGATTAAATGAGGAGCAAAGGTTCCTATTAAGAATGTACAAAGAAGCAAGGAAAGGAATTTGTATAATACAAACCATTTGGTTCTTTCATCTTCCAATGTCTATTTGACTAAATGTTTGCATATTGTTTGCTGGCATAAAAAACAGTAGATACTTTGTAAAGATATAAATACCACAGTATTGGCATTTAACAGAAGAGCTGTGGGAAATAAATAGTAACCTTAGAGCTTGTTATACTTTTACAGGCATGTAAAGTAAGAGAACATGTCAATGACTATGAATTAAATGCTCCTAACAAGGACGAGACACATAAAATCTGCTCTGGTGTGGAACATCCACATTCTGTGGTCCAGCTGAGTGCTCAGCACTTACAGGTATTAAGACAGTTGCATGTTATTCCATAAAACAGGAAAACAGTTTTATCTTTGCTCAGTCTAGTGTCACATTTGTCAAAGGGCATCCCCGCATGAGGTCTTACCTGCACAAGACTTTTCAATTCTATTAAATGTGAAGACATCCTCAAAAATTTAACAACTAATTAACTTCTCCTCTTTAGTGAAAACCTTTGTCCATTTTCTTTCAGTAATTTTAGGATTTTTTAGGGTTTGGGTTAGCTCTTCAGCCTCCAAGCAAAAAACTCTTCCAGTTTTCTGTATCTTTTACCATGTTTGACACTGTCCTGTTCTCCGGCTGGTCCATGAGCTGTTTGCCAGTGCCTCCAGCCTTGCTCCAGGAATTCCTTTGCACTGGTGGCACCGTAGCTGAGCAGCCACACAGTGGTTCCACCATCCTTGCAGGATGTTAAACACTCATCGTGCCAGATTAGTAATTTTATGTTCCATTTCACGTCAATATTCCGCCTGTGGAAATGGAGTGAGCGCTCCATCCGTGGACACACTGAGATTACACAGATTGCCTGAGTCATCCAACAGCCTGGGAGAGGCAGAGACTGCAATTTCAGACACAGGGATAATTTCAGATCTTGCCGAGGGAAACAATGTGAAATCTATTTGCCAAAATGAGTAATGGAGCTCTAAATACTGATTACAGTTCACAAATCTAACTTAGATTGTATGATTACACTTGAAATTGTACTCTATGTTCGATTCACAGCAGTATTTTTATCCAAATAATTTATTACTAAACATAAAGGTAAAATACACACCAGTAAAACTATATGTAAACATTCGACATTTTTCTAAGGTTTTTTTAACTGCACTTTTACTGCAGCAGTTACAGCTGTGTTTATGTGTGTGCCTGTTTTTCAGGAAAGTATTCAAGGAACAAGAAAGTGTTTGGTTTGTTTAACATTAGTGAGCATTTTGTAAGTAGAAACAGTTGAGAATGTGGCAGCCACTGTTACATTCGTTGTGCATTACTTCAAAGTGTTGATATATGCTCAGGAAGGAACGTGGGGAACTACCTTTATTTAAGAAACTGGAATTCAGAACATATCACAACTCTGTCTCATCTGAACTCTTGTAGCAGCGGAACGGAACTTTCCAAATTCCTTATTTAAACTGAGAAAACATCTACACTAGATTGAAAAGCATCTACTGACAGAAAATCTTGTGTTTCACTAAAATACATTGTCCTGAGTGCATGTTTTGGCAAACTAGAGTAAGAAAAGCTGCTTTTTAACATACTGCAACACGGGCAGAAAAGCTTCCAGCTCATAACACACATACCCTGAGATTACATATCACAGACACAAAGAGAAACCAGACAAGGTCTCTTCTAAAATCACAGAGCTCAGTTCGTGCATTCAGCAAGTCTTTGAAAATTGTCAGACTACAACTGGGAAGCCTTTCTTTGCCACGAAAAATAGTGCACTTTCCTCAGAAAATGCTACTTTTTACTGTTGCTCATTAGATTTATATGTTGGAGTAGTAATTTCAAAAGCAAGTCTTTTACAGATTGCTCCCATGGTGAAAAAATAGCTCCACCTGCTAACACTTGAGTGCCACTAGTATGGAAAGATATTAAATTCAGCATCATTCTATTCTTTAGTCTTTCTACAAACTCAAGAGTTTCTTAGAGTTTGTATAGCTGCTACTGTCATTTTTTTTAAGATAAACTACATTAAATTTAGATTTTAGTACCAGCTAGTACTGATACTGAATCAGCACATTACTACTGTCATCACAAGTGTTTAAAAATGTCTTTCAGAGCAGTTGTAAGATGCATTTGTTAAAATTGTCAGTCTAAAATAGAGTTTCATATTTAGTTTATATTTAGTCTAATTCTTCGAGCTCTTTCATCAAAAAAAGGGCATAAAAAGACTAAAGGGTATTAAGTGATTGTGCCACTGATTCTCCATTTTTCTTTAGACACATCCTGAGCCCAAATTTCATGTTAGACATGAATTAGATGAACAATTAGATGTTAAATTCCTGTTCTTGGACATAATTCAAACCAAAGGTGTGAGTCTCGAAAACTCCCCTGTGCATTAATTGCAAATATCCATTAAAAATTGTTATGAAGATGTTATAAGTGCTTTGACACCTTGGAGCTGCACCCTCTAAGAGACAGAAGAATTTATATCAATTAAGAAACCTGACTGAAGTACTAAAAATACAGTGATCTGTTCTATGAGAATGGAATATTAAATATTTCAAGCATCACCCCATTGACCTCCTAAAATTTGCCAGTATAAACACTTTCTCTTAAGTTCTTCACAGACTGATCATTTAGTACCACCATTCTTTAATCTGTTTTAGTAACAATTACCTCAAAGCCCCAGGGGAGTGTAGTACAATCTAGCAGAAAGGGTTATTAGTCTACATGTGAGGGAGTCCAGTAATACCAACATGAAATTATGTCTTTGCAACAGAGAATTATTCACTGATAACAGTATGCTCAGCATAAGACCAGACAACTAAAATACTGTATCCACTTTCAGTATTGTAGTAAAAAAGTTTCTAATGATAACTGGCAGCTTCTCAACAGCACATTAAAAATATAACTGAAAGTAAATCAAGCATATGAGAGAATTAAAGGGAAAGTTTGAATTGTAGACCTTCGACAAAGAAAATAGAGGGTCAATTTTAAATTACTGTGGAATTGTTGGCAAATATGTATCAATTATTTATTGCAAATGAAGCAATCAACTTCCCCAAATGCAAAAATTTTAACTGGTAGAGACACATACTGTACATGCTTGGAGCAAACTTATTTTTGAAGTCAGGAGCATCCTACAATGAAGTGATCTAACTTCTAATTTAAAAAAAAAAAAAAGAAGAACAACAAAGAAATAAACTCCCACCTCTGAGTATATACATGAACCAAACCGTCATCCCTGAACATTTTAAATTTAAAATCCCATCTGAAAATTCAAGGTAAAAGTTAAAATAAGTATGCAGAATCAAACAAAATAGCCGTTCTTACCTTAACAACAGTGCAAAGTTTTTTGAGGCTTATATAAGGAATCGGTAACTTCAAAAGCTGTTTTTGAAGTAATCAACTTAAATATAATTGCATTTTCAGTCATTTGATGGGTTGAAAACAGATCAGAGATTAGGATGCAACTGGCTTGGCACAGTCACAACCTCCAGCTTCTCACATTCAGTCACACACCAACCCCATCCTCCAGGGTCACTCCGGGAATAAGCCAGAACATTGTTTGCAATATTTTCAGACTATAGACTGTTCATGTACAAATACAACTATCAGCCATTTGAAGAAATTAATATAAGCGCAGGGAAATGTAATTTTTCACACTTTGCTGAATGCTTTCAATATGGCATTTATGAATAATGTGTTCCATACGAGATCATGTTGAGCTCGCACTGACTTGTGATCTGCTATAGTGCTCATGGAAGCACATGGCTGCCAACAATTATTCTGCTGGAAAAGGAGTATTTTTTTAAAAGAGCTTCCTGCATACCTATTAAAGCAAATAGGACATCCTAATTATGAATATATTGCCCCTATAAACCTCAGTCTAACCCACCATCCATTGCTCCTCATGCAATGAACGTGTGGCAGCATTTCTGTGAAGCACACATGGAGCGTTACTTTAGTGTAAGTTTAATGCTGCAACAGTGCAATACAGGCAAGCAAATGTTTATTCTTTTACTAAATGTACTGTGGAGTAACTTGAGGAATCTTCTTCAATGTACACATCTGCTCAGCTGGCAATAGTCTAAACATTTCAGGAGCCAAGAACTTTTGATTACCAAGAGTCTCCTTGCGTACGCTCTGACACTGAATTGCAGAGGACATTTTTGTCTGCATTACGTTTACCGGGATTTTAAGAGAGAGAACACATCCAGGGTACCAGACATTTTCTGGGCACCGTGACAGAACTCAAAGGTCTAAAGAAAGAAGGAGTTACATTTACTTTTTCCCACAGTCACCAAAAGTTTTAGCTTTCTCTCTCTCTCTTGGTTTTACCACTGGATCAATAGTTAAATTTAGTCCTCCATCTAAATCATCTGAAGCTTTTAGTTTCAAATCACAAGCTCAAAATTGAGACCAGGACAGGCTGTTGCACCCCCAGCAATCTCAATTTAACATGGGATTAATTCATTCCCTCTTACCTGCGCCCATTCAAATCCATGCTTTAGGGACATTCACACTCCCTCCTTAGCCTACACTACACAATTACCTTTATCTATTTGTCTACCAGCAACTTCCAATACCCTGTGCTGTAATCCTGTGCATTCTGACACGAGTTAACACTTCTCATCCATAAATGCTTGAGATGAATTTGAAAATTATTACTTCAAGTACAGTTTTAACCTGCCTTCTGATGTGAGCAACAAAGCACTCCATCACCACAGATAAATTAGCACTGTCAAGTGTAAGTTCCAGCCAAATAAGCCCATTCTCATTCCTCTGCAAGGGCAGGGTGCCAGCTCACCTACCTCAGTTGCTGCTGAGCCAGACCTCCCTCATGTTTCTCCACACCATTTCTTCAGATACTCACATGTTCAGGCCCACACTCCTTTCCTCAACACCGCCGACAAAATTCCCTCATTTTCTCAAGGCAATTCCTCACTTCCTTCAACCCCTACTTCCAGCACTTCTATATATTGTTGCTTGTTGGTTCCTACACCCTCCTCAGCTCTGTCCCTCAGAGCCTGCGGCGGCCTCACCCCAAGCAGGGACAGCCCGCGCTGGGCACTGCCCGCCACAGCAAAGCCCCTGAGCGGCTGCTGAAGAAAATGTTCCACAGTGCGACTTGACGGCAAGGTAATGTTTTTTAAAGGCTGCTTTACACCATCGGGAAGCACGAGCGAGAACGCTGAGGGCGGTGAAGCCCCCGGTCCCTCACGGCTCGCAGGGACGGGAGGAGGGAACGGGTGGCGCCGCCACCGCCCGGCCCTGAGGGGAGCGGGGCGGGGCAGCACCGGAGGGCGAGAGGCGCCGGGACAAAGCCCTCAGGGACACGGTGGGATTCCTGGGGTGTCCCGGAGTTCTATTCGATGATCCTTGTGGGTCCAGCTCAGGATATTCTGCGATTCAACGACCTCTGGAGTCAGTAACAGCACACAAACCGCCAGGGAGCAGGAACCCAGGAATCCCCAGAGCCATCACAACCAGCGATGACAGCTCTGCTTTTCAGAAACAAATTCTAGGCACATATTTTAAACACACATTATGAAACAAATGTGGATCTAATTTAAGAAGCTACATTCTTTCCCTTCTAGAATTAATGATTTCACTTCAAGCGTAGGGAAGCGAACCAAACCCCACAGAATAAGGAGGTTTGATGTGGTATCAGAGGGGCCAGTCCCTGCTTAGGACACCATCTCTGACACACCGACACTTGTCAACCCAAACTTAGCATTAAAAAAAGCATAGCCCCGCAGCCAGCACATTTTAGTAGCTTACCCAGGTGCTCACTGGTAAAATCGAGGACTAGGAAAGGGAAAAAGCACTATTTTCTTCAGAGGATTTAATTACAGATAGAGATAAGTAACATCCAGCTCCGCAAAATGACAATTGAGGAGGGGAGTAGAAGCAGTGGGTATATCTATTAACCCTTGTAGTTTACAGAAGTATGTACGCTGTCTGATTTGAAAAAACAAGTTTTTAAGACTTGTATTTTCCCTGCAGGTATCTAAGTGTTGCTTTTCAAGAACGAAGAAGATCCTAATGGCCTTGGGGTAAAGACTGCAGGTGGACTCTCTGTGACAGCATGGGCCTCTACCCAGGAGCAGAGATTCCCTTGCCTCTTAACCTGTACTTCGACAATCCCTTTAAATGCTTTTGTACCCTTTTGTCATCATGGCCCTAAGCTCCATTCCAAATCATGTGATGCCAGTTCTTTTGGATATATAGTTAATAACAGCCCCCGACATTTGCACAGAACACCATATAAATGACCTGAATCATCCCCATGAGGACTTTATACAACTTCTATTAAGTGTTGCATATATTATGAGAGCTAAATTTGCAATTGGTTTGGATACTCAAGATGAAAGTGATTTAAGTATTTAGTCCTAAGGTCATGAGTCTTGGGGAAGAAAAGTCTCTGGATCCTTGAGAGCACAAGAGTTCAGTTACTAATTTTCCCTTGCATCACTAATAGAGTCTTCTTTCCCACATTTTAGTGTGAGAATGTGATGATACGGCTGCTATTAAAAAACCAAATTAATTATACTACTTCTGGGAGTATTCCAAGGTTAGAAATATAACATCTCACATTTAACATCGTTAAATTATTTTTCCCTTTGCAATGCAAGTTCACAGTAATTTAAAACCCCATGAATTTTGGCATAGCTTTAAACAGGTTACTGCATTGTTTAAATGACAGTGGCTCCCACTCTAATGTAAATATAATCTCATGAAGCCTTCTTGATATTCCACTCTCCACAGCAATGGTTTTGATTGTTTGATAATTTGTAGAACTCTCTTCTTTTGTTTTCATGTCTTCAAGGGAAACACACAGCAATTTAAAACTTGTGACATTAAGCTTGCTTTTCTTGGTTACATTTCACAAATATCTTGAAAGTAGTCCACGGATCAAGAGGGTCTGCTAATCACAGGCTGTCAAAAAATTGTTATATTATGAAGAAAAATAAAAAGACTTCACTAAAAACATTTCAGAAGCTAATAAATAAAAACAAACGAGTTCCTAAGAAAATGTCTTTAATTTTCATTTTATGGAAATACATACTTTGTTTTTATTTCCATGATACAAAAAAGTTAAATATCAAACATTTTCTGAAATCTATCAATGCGGGTCCTTTTTTAAACAAATAAAGGGCTGGTGCAGTTAGCAGGTTTATCACAAAAAACATTTTTACAAAAGCCCCACAAGCTGGGGAAGAAGAAGGGAGAGAAGAAACAAACCAGAATTTAAAGGTGAAAACAGCAACAGATGTGAAAACAAAGAAAAATTACCTCCCACCAGGAAATTAATGTTTGAGAAACTTTTAAGTTACAGTTTTTTGAAAGGGTAAGGTATGTGTAAAGCTGGTATTTAGATGAATACCATCTGCACAGGGGGTGGGGGTAGAGAACAGAAATTCAAAAGATATTTCTAGATAAAGTAAGTGGTAGAAAGCAATATGTGAAACTGCAGTTCTACCTGTTTCCAGAATGCTGACAGCAAACTGATACTGCCTGGAAAAATAGCTAAATATGAGGAGACTCGTGGTAACTCCCCCAAGCACAGGAGACAGCCCAGCACGAAATCATGGAGTGCCAGTTGTTTTTGGCCAGTTCAGAGCCAGCATGCCAAAGGAGGTGACCAAAACACATTTAGTCTTGCTTCTTAAATCTAACATTGGTTACGACAGCAAGGATTTCACATGATCAACAACGAGCCATATACTGGTTAATATACACACAAGCAAAACTGACAGTGATTGTTCAAGAAACAGTTTAAAATAATTAAACTGATTTTCAGGACACAGACTGCTTTGTTAACACCACTTTATTTAAATAAAGTATGGCTTCCAAGAGGTGTATTCTCTCAACTGCTTTCAATCAACTCCACTTGTTAAGGCAGTTGTTTCCTACCATGTTTCAGGGACTTCAAAAATTCCAGTGGAACTAGTGGTGAGGCTTCCTAAAAGACAGTCATGGGACAAAAATTAAATCAAGATTTTTTTTTGTTCTTTCAGAGTACATTAAGACATATTTTCTCCTGTAGAGTGAGGTTCTAGATACATTACTGGCGAGTCAATATTTACAAAGAGAAACCAAGAGAGTGTTTATGAATATGCACTTAAAAAAAAAGGGGTGTTGGGGGCAATGAAGGTTAATACCAGGTTTCTTATCTAAACAGTAAATACTACATTTTTAATCCAAGTAATTAAGTAATTTTGGTTTTGCAATAACTGCGATGATAAAGTTAAATAATACCATTTTCCCAAGTGTACTTGTAGTTACTTTTGTTTAAGGCAATTAAGGCAGTGAAGAATATTTCCAGCCCAAATTAATTGGAGAATAAAGACGAATCACACTAATACCGATAATGCATATTTCCATAATGCCAAATCCAGAGCCTGAATTTTATACTTGGAATTAGAGTAGACACTCTTGTCATTTTGCATATGCTTATATGGCCCAGCTGCCCTCCTAAATTGCAAGAAGAAAGCAATTTCCAAGCACAGTTTTTGAATCAGCTACGAAAAATTTTACTCTGCCAAATCAGGAGAAAGGATGCTTGGTATACAATACCACTTTCTGGATAAAAGTTGCTAATGCAGATATATAAATGAAGTTTTATCTATGAATATTTGAATATATTTCAATACATGGAGTGCTCCAGATGACTAATGCATTGAATAACCGTGAACAGAAAGTCACGTTAAACAAATATTAAGAATAGCTAAAAAAAACCCTCAGAGTTTTATCTTAAGAAAGAAAGTAAGCAAGTAATAAATCAACTACATTCTGCTTCATTTGGCTGGTCTTGGGTGGGGTTTTGGTTGTTTATGGGTTCTCTGGTTTTGTTTTGGTTCTGTTGTTTGTTTTTTCCCAATTTTTGTATAATGCAAAATTCATCACTTTGTAATGGAGTAACTCACTGCTACAAGCAAAGACATTCAAGAGAACAACTTCGATTGCCCTGTTCAGGCCCAGGGCACTTTCAAACAGGACAAAAACGTGTACCAACACTGTACTTACCTGCTGGAACTTGATCTGTCTTGATCTTTTTCAATTTTTTGGCTCTCTTCTTACCATCTGGAAGGGCCTCTGCACAGGAGTCTGTCTGATCACATTCTGAACCTTGGCCCTCTCCCTCTTCCATATCATCAGAACCAGTTTCTTCCTCAATGGGACTCATGCTTCTCTTGCCCACTGTGCTGGTACCTGTAAAACTGGCACACAGAAGAGAGATGATTATGAAGAAGTCAAGGATTACTGTTACATAGGTGCTAGTTGCTGTACATCTACTAAATGCTTATGAAGGTAGCAGAATAAACTGTAGCAAGTGGCGAACCATGAAGTGACATTATCTGGAAGACCTGACTTAACTATAAAATTCCATAAATTGGCTATCTAATCCAATCTTATGGAGATCAAGGTATTTGTTCTTTGTACTATAGATGTCTAAGGCTTGGCTGCTATTCTGATGAGATCACTCAACTGAAATGGAATTAAAGCTGTTCTCTATCCCTGCTTAGTTTTAACTTTTATTTTCATGGTTAAAGCACTGTCAACAGACACCCAGTTATACACAACTGAGCCTCAAACACACATCTCTGTATTGAAGGATTTCACATGTTCACTTCATCCTCTCTCCTGGAACTACAGCGGGTTTTAAAAGCATTTCTATTATATAAAGGCAGAGAAAACCATCAAGCTCCATATAATAAACTTTAAATCTGACTTTAAGTGAAGAGTCCTATTATCCACGGGGCTGGTAAAATAAAAAGCATAAAAAATCACACACTCATTTCATTAATAAAGCCTGATTAACAGGGTATGAAGATGAACTCAGAGCTCCACTCCATTCAGCACACACTGAAATAACACTGTGTAGGTTTGTGTTCCACTGCAATGCTACTGTTAAGATCCCTTCAAAGACAAATGACAATATTAAAACCAAATTAGCAGGAGTACAAGAAAGAATGCAGTAGCAAAGGGGATAAATTAAAAAAACAATTCCCACTATGAACTTTTAGATATGTGAACACCAGCTATTTAAATGTCTAATTTAATGCTCTCTTAAAACTACCAATTAAAAAAAAAGGTAGTTTTAGACTTATGAACCTTTAGTTTTCCATTAAGGACCACACAACATGGCTGTATGCATCTAAGCCATATTCCATTCTGTGACTGAAATATTAATACTGAGTTATAAAACAAAGCTTTACAAGGTATTTTTTTCTTTTTAATCAATAGCAGGGAATTATGGTGTTTCAGTAAGGTTTCACCTAAAGGAAGGACTGCTAAATTTGGCAGCACAGTTTTGGCTTTGAAATGGAATTTTTTCAGCTGAACATTTTGCAATTTAAAACAGACTCTTTCTGGGATGTCCAAAGGCAATAAACAAACATGAAACATATGATTACGTCTCATGCTCTTACTTCCACTTTAGGAGCACAAACACCATTTACTTTGATGAATAGTTGGCTTTTCCTCCAAACATTCACACACAGAAGGCGTTCTTGCATGATTTCTTACAAATCATCATTTGGAGTCACACCACAACTACCATCAATAAAAAGATGGAAGCCAAAAAGCTGGAGAGAACTGTTTATCCTATATACACAACTCAATATGGCAAAACAGGCCAAAAGTGGGCTGGAAAGAAAAAAAAAAATCTAGTGAAGAAAGAGCATTTAGGGAATTAAAAACTACTATGTTTTCTTAAAAATTGTTTAGAAAAGCTTTGGGAAAGACATTCTGAAAAACACATAAGGAAGAAAAACTCAAGAGCCATAAATTATGATCCCAGGATCACTGCAGGAAGAAGTTCCCTTTTTGAATGGTCTTATGGCTGAATTTAATTTTTTTTCAGCTTAAGACTCCTGTGAAGTTATTGTGAATAAAGAGAAACGAGTTCTTCCCTTTCAGTGCACATTTATCTGTGTACCAAAGTACAGAATAAAAGTTAATTTAGGCCTTACGTTCCTCCTGCAGACACTTTGGGGTAGGGAAAAAACCCACCAAAAAAGTGGCAGCACAAAATACAATATATTTTTATATACAATATATATTTTATAACCAAGAGCTGTTGACATCTTACTTTCTCCCAACATATTAATTTTATTTTACATTCATTCACTGATTGTATGGCTAAAGGTTGATTTTTTTGTGTGTGTTATTCTTCCTTAACCTAAAATAACATTCTAGATTACAGCAATACTATTTATGAACTTAGTAGCAAATTAATATGGCTGCATATCCGAGTCAGAGAACCACTTAGAGCAAAGATCAGTTTTCCAATTTATACCCGTTATTCTATTTGTGCCCACATGTCTGTCTCAATTTCCTTAGTCTGCTGAGAAACAACTAAACAAAGTTAAAGACTCAAACACACTAATACATATCAGCAGTTGTCCAATTCGGATCAACTTCCTTTATTATTTATCCAAACTCTGCATACCTGAACCATTTAGAGACAGAAATTTCCACCATCCATAAACTACACAACACTTAGGTTTCAAAACACACATGTACAACAGCTATCCAAGCAATTTTATTTTTTTTTAAAGAATATATTTAAAGAGGCTCTATAATTCCTTTTGCATATTGAAATGGAGCTTGTTCTCATTTTAAAAATAAAATCACTAGCCAAGTTGTGGGGTTTTTTGGGGGGTGGGGGTGCTGAGAAACCACCAAAAAAAAAAGGCCCACCACAACAAAAGCCTATTATCCATTGCCAGTTGGCAGATTTAGTTAGTGAACAATCCAGCTTTCCCATCAGCCAGGGATGATGGGAAGTGGGGTCCCAAGACTCTTCACCAACAGTTCCCACTCATCCTTCTTCCCCAACCTCTCCCTTCTGCTGCTCCCAGTGCCAGCCCACAGGCAAACCTGGGGAGGATGAATGGGAGAAACAGGAAACCTGCATTTTGTTCTTGATTTCTCTCTGTTGATTTCTAATCAAAAAGAATGTGAGTTAAATTGCAGCAGTATGAGCAGCACCACGAGCACTGATCACAACGGGATGAATCAACAGGATGGGGAGGTCCTGCACTGCCAGAGAGGGCACAGACTCCACCTGATTAAACTGTCCATGGACTTTGTAATGTCATTTCAAATACTAAATATCAGCAATCCAAATAGTGCTCTGATAATTAATTTGAAAGAATCAGCAGGTGGAGGGGGGACAAAAGGTGGGAAAACAATTATGATGATGCAGCATTTAACATTGTCCATTTTGGGAAAGCACTTCCGAGTTTTAAAAGAAACACTTCATCTCAACAGAACATTTTGAATTGGCCTGGATATATGCAGACCTTCAACTTCAAATAAATTTCATTTAAACAAAAACATCAACCTTGTGTTCTCCTGAGACTTTGAATAAAATTAGAGGGATGGGAGTAGATACTGATCCATCATAAAAATCAGTCATTTCAGCTTAAGAGCAGGTGAAATCACGTGAAATAACACTACAATACTGGCCCACTATAACAATTGGCTTGCAATATTTGTTATTCATATATTTAATGACTTAGTTTCTCCCAATTCTTATCCTTTATTTGATAATAAACCATTATAAAAAACCCCTTCTGTAAAAAGCAGAATCATGGGTAGAAATACTCGAACATTCCAAAAATCAGATAATCTCCAGCAAAATTAAGACATTCAAGGAAGTGATGCTAAAAACAGCACCTTGACTTGACAGAAGGTAAGATGCAGCTCTTGCAGTTTTAAGTACAAAATTTGTAAGGCAAAATGACACATCACTTTCTGTGCTTCACACTAGTCCTTTTCCACTGGCCTTATTCTATTTTACTATTCCTAGATGATGATCAGGAAAACTAGAATAAGTACAAGTAGGGCAGGATAGTTAGTTTTACACAGAACATACCCTACTTGACTTTTCTAGGTTTAACACTATTTTGCTAGGGGAAGGTTCTCACATGCAGGCATTTCAGAGTCCTGGCAGAGCTGGCACAGCACAGCCAGTTCCAGCCCTGTCCTCTGTGTGTTCTCAACAGCAAAGGCTTTAGAGAAGGGGAGCTGAGTTACTACTTCAAGTTTTGTCAAATGCTTCAGTTTTCCCTCTACTTCTCCATCTCACATTACTAATCTGTCATATTTCCACTGGGATAAATTTTGATATTTAGCAGTAGTAGTATCAAGGAATACACGTTAAGTGATTTTATCTTGTGACTGCTCTTAATACTATTACACCATATTTTCTGAAGAGTAATTCCTCTACAACATGGGACTACAATTTTTTCAGCAAGACAGGGATTAAAGAGCCTTTGTTACATACTTATCAATCTGTCAGTTTAAGACAAAGTTCCTTACAAGAAATACCCAACAACTCCATTACTGAATGAAAAATTAGCCAGGACACATCGTCATCATGGAGGAGAACAGCTACTCTGCAGCTGTGCTCCTTGGCAGAACTGATTCAGCAAGCTTATTAAATAATAAATAAATAAAGGATGTAGTAACATGAAGCTATTAAAAGAGATCAGCTGCTGGATACATCACAGTACTGAGTGCTCAGCTAGATAGGACTTACATTAATCTGGACAAATATACACACACATAAATGCACATATATATTTGTCCTGGTTGTTTAAATAAATATTATGCTATAGTTATTATATTTTATATTAAAATGGTAATATATAATATATAAAAATATAAGTATTTTTTATATACCTTTGACTGGAAACAAAAAGAAAGTGTTCCTCTTGAGTGAAATGAAAGACCACATGGTTTGCAGTTCCATATTATATCTAACCAGATTACACTTCAGAGGAAGTATTTACAAAAGATTAGTTGACAAAAGAATATAATCTAACTAGTAACAAATAAAAATAAAATTCATGTCAAATCAAAAGACCTGCATGAGAGGGAATTTGGGACAGAACAAAATCACTTTATTAATTGAGTAAGAAGAGAACAAAAATTCACATAACATCAATTATAAAAGAAGGTCTGTCAACAAAATAATGCCTACTATCCAAGGCTATCTAAGTGTTGATCATCTAAAACCAAAAAGCTGCTTCTTGTGGAATTTTACAACATTAGATAGAAAAAATATATTAAAACTTGACAAGATTAAGTGCTTAGGCAAACAACTCTTTGGGGTATGTCAAACTTTGAAGGAAAGAATTCACTGAAAATTTTATTCAGCAATTTTCCAAATTATACATATGTGGCAATTCTCAAACTTATTTACAAGACAACAGCAAATCAGCTTTCTGCATTTACTATTTTCCATAAGCTGTCACCCTCATTATCTGCCTAGAACCTGTGATACCAACTTAATGACAGACCTAAACCTGAGCCACAGCAAGCTGGTGCCAGGACAGTCTTTAGAGCTCCCCATCTCTCCACACACTCCCAAGTTTCACTAAGTACAACAGTTCCATTAAACTAACTTCATTTGATATGGATTTTATCACCAGGTTCCTCCATATGGTTTTTTGAATCAAACACGTCTATAACACATTTAGAATTCCCACCATGACAAAAGCCATGAACATCTGACAGCTGGCCAAAATACACACCTGCAAAATCACAGGGTTATGTCAGTGGCAAGAACAGAACAAGTTGAGCATATTTGTTATGTGACAGACAAACATTTACAGGAAGATATAATGAGCTAGAACTTGTCATAGCATTCCCAAGAAAGATATGGCAAAAGGACAGCATTAGTTTTGTGACCATTATATTTGGTCTGTCTAACCACAGGGTGGGGAAGGAGAGAGAATCCCCCCCAAAAACCAAACCAAAACACCACCTTAGAGAAATGTAGCTTGTACATTCCACTTAAACTTATTTTCATACATTTTCATATAGAATTGATAGAAAGAATGGCAATAACTGGATAGGTTAATTATACAATTATATTAACACTAAAAGACCCTTCTCACACACAGCTACACAGATGACTGAGAAAGAAGCTGCCTGTTACCCTCATATCCAAAACCTGTCATTAAGATGAGGGTAAAAATGGAGCAAGAAATACACACAGCAACAGACTGTGCCAGAATCAAAAGCAGCATGTCCTGACTTAATTTTGTCCTTCAATAATGAATTAAAACCCTGTTCAAGTTTTATACCAAAAGCTTAAAGCCAGGTAAGTATCATCATTTGCCATCCTTTCCGGAAGCATAAGGACAACTTCATCAGGACTGCTCAAGAAGGTAATTCATGCCCTTCTTTGCTGTACTATTAACACCATGGAAAGTCATCCAAAAACCAGCATGGCCTTCAAAAGGTTATAAGATGACAGCTACTTATCAGAAGACAAAAGCCATTCAAAAGTATCAAATTAATAGAGAAAATAAATTTTTTAATTTGGTTATAAGGAATGATGCTGGTACATGAAGCTCAGAAGCTGTGATTTGACCTGTCCCCAAGATCCCAGAATTTAAAAACTGTCTAATCACATTGGTGATGAAATTCTCTCTCCTCTTTCACTTCTCATCTTGTGACAGCTGATGTACCACTACTGATTTATATGCAAAGAAATAAATGCAGGAAAAAACTCATTTATTAGTTAAGAACTACCTGAAAATTGCCAGACTTCTAATAAAAATGCAATAAAAATATTAGAGTTGGCAAAGCAGAAGTCACCTCACCTGTTAACACAGTAGTAGCGACTCTGGGAGATGTAGGGTGTGCACTGAGTTTTTAACCGTTTCCTCTCCATCTCCTTCCAACTGTCTTCTGTGCATTTTCTCTTTGCCTGTTTGTCTTCATGTTTGTTCTCAACATATTCTGCATATGTCTGGATCCTATAACTTTCAGCATACCTGCTGGTGTTTACAGCTGTGGAGAAGAAGAGTGATGTTACACACAGAACACTGAAATGACAGCAGGTCCTCCCCTGAAATAACTTATTTTGAAAAGCGGGATGCAGCGAGTTGTTTGTTCTGTTCATGTAAACCATTTCTAGTTCCATTGTTAGCAATTAAAACAAAAAAACAAAACAAAACCAACCCCAAATGCCACACTCTCCAAAAGTCTCAGTGTCTGAATTAGATGCTCAGAACTCTTCTGAGGGTCAGACTTCATGCAAAAAGAGTTAAATCTACTTAAGACGTTTCTTTTAAATTAGAAACGATCGATTCTTCAGTCGTAACCCTCTTCCAGATTGCTTGTTGGCAAGAAAAGATTTCCTGGATTTTTTCCCTTTTAGTCTCATTACTTAACCCAGCAGGTTTATTTTGCAAGTCTGCCAGGAAAAGACGACATTTGCAAAGCCTTTGCCAAAACTCTGTTTGATTGCTGTGAAACATAAGCTTATTTGAGCTGCATTTTTGGTTGCACAAGATATCCATGGAAGAAGCACTTAACTAATATCCAGCTGTTCCAAACTTGTATCTTTCTAATGTTTGGTCTCAATTTAACTAAAAAACACTGCCAGTTCAAGGTAGAAGGATTTCTGTCAATGCAAAATTAGAATCGCTTTAAAAATAAAGAAAAAAAAAACTTTCACTGCCTCCACTCAGCAACAATTTAACAACATTCCTTCAAGTCCCAGCATCTTCAGAGCTCTCAGCCTTCAGCGAGCGAGCCAAGCTCTGGCCTGATGCCATCACTGTAACAGATGAATCAGCAAATTAAACTGACTGTCAACTGGTGTCTTCTGCTGTTTCCAGCCTAACTCTCTGAAAGAAAGTATTGTAAACCAACCAGTAAACCAGTTTAAATATAAACCAAAACCAAACCAGCAAACCCCAGATTGTTTTTCACATAATCAGGCCGCACATTTTAAAAATACCATAATTGTAGTGGAGACAAAATCCTGATTTTAATCTGTACTTCCAATTTTTGTGCAGCCATTTCAGATGCATGGCCAACTTTCTTTCCTAGCTGAAGTGTTGTTATCTCCAATACAGGTATTCTGTGCCACCTCTGGTCCAAGAACTAGAAATGGCAAGCTCCAACACTGCATTTCAGAAAAGCTGAGGAATATGGGTGGATGGGTGGATTTGGTTTTCCTCCTCTTTCAGGACAGATCATCTATTCTGTATATTTGCTACGTTACAGTGAAATGAATTACCTATAATATGTGCCATGGCATAGAGATGCTGCTGCTGCAAAGTCTTTGTAATGCACATAAAACTGGGCCAAGAGTGTTGTATATTTAATTTTAATAGCAAACATAAATAGCAGCAGTTCTGATTAACAGCTCCTGAGATTGGTGCAGTAACCAAGAGGAGTGAGGCAAACCCCCCCTACATTTGTTTTGAACTGTGAAGTTACAGGATCTGTTTGCAGGAATTAGGAGCATATTTATTGCCCGTGGAGTTATGGTGCAGGCACCATGAATGAATTACTAAGGCTCACTGGAGTTTGCTGCATGCCAGCCCACATTCCTCAGGGTAACATTTGTTTAGTTAAACTCAAGTATGTTTTTACTTGCTAAAATCAAGCCCAGCGTTACCATGGATCATCTGTTACATAGTCATTTGTTAAAACACAATAACCATTTCACATTATTTGTTTTGCTACAAACTACGAACCAAAGTTACGGGTCTGCCATTTAATTCCCTGATACACTCAGCCCTTTTTTAAGGAAAAAAAATAAAAATATATAAATTTTAAAATAAATCTGTGTAAGAGTATTTTCGAACAAAGACAACTCTGCTTTCTTGAAATAAGGCATGTATTTTACAGTAACCCACTCATATGACACACAGACACACAAATATATACGTATATAGCATATACATTTAATATAAAATGTTACATGCTGAATATATTGCTTCATCATGGAGCAGCTGAAATGAAGGCATATGGAGAAGTCTAAGGAGTCACACACATAAATCAATCTTGCATGGTCTTGAGCTGAAGAGCAGCTCCCTGTAAGAGTTTAAAATACATTTTCTCTGATGCTTTTTTGATGAATGCTGTCCATATTGCCAACCAAAGCAAATACAGTTACATCCTTCTGCATTGCCAGCAGAAGAAATGCATTGCTAGAATGCTTTGTGAATTCTAACAAACTAAAGAGAACTCAGGGAAGTTATTTCCTTATTTATTAAAATTTTAGGAGAGGAGATAACTCTTCCTGGGAGAAACCTGACCTAGTAACCAACTCTACACGGCTGCATTTCACCACACATTAACTGCAGGCCTGAAGTAGAATAATGGCAATTGCAAATTATTTTAGGAAAAGCATTTCTGGAGGACTCATCTTCTCTAGTTATCAGACAAGATATTGAGCAGGCTGACAGTTGTTGAGTGATCCAACAGGAATGTGTACAAAGATACTCTTTTGCCAAGTCCTTGCTTTTAAGCAGAGCAAAATCCTGACAGATGGCCACTGACAATATTAAGCCTCTTAATAAACAGACAAATATGTCAGAGAACTGTGTAGGTAAAAGAAAAGCAACAATATACAAATAAAACAAATACAGAGAGCTATACAGATTAAGGCTGCAATACTGAACACTCAGGTTTATGAAATCCTGAAGTAAAATTTCACCTGTGAAGCCTTAAAGTGACCTTTGTATCGATGCTGCCTCAATCTTATCTGATCATGTTCTACTCCAAACATGGGGCTGCTGCCTCAGACTCTTCAATCAGTGAGTAGCTAAGGCACTAATTTCTTTTACTCTCATTACTCATTTTTTGGTTCCACAGCCTTATTTATTGCCTTCTAGGGCTGTTCATGCTGCACCTAAACAACATGTTTCTTTAGCAGGAAAGAAGCAATCCTGGGAGTAACTATGTAGCAGTTATTGCTTATGGAGTATGTTACTCTTAGCCCTGACAAAAGGTTAATTCCAAAAAACAACTAAGTGTAGTGGATTAGACCATTTTCTCCAGTCTGGTTACAAAAATTGCAAAAAAAAATTTGTTTAGGAAGTAAAAAAAAAAAGAAACCAACTCACAAATGAAGGGAGGTAAAATACTACATTAATCTTCAGTATCCATTAAGAAAATCTCAACTTAGTAAAAACCACTGACTGAACAGAAACAGAAATTAAGGCTGGTGAAGATGCATTTTCTTGCTCCAAGGAATCAATGTATTAGAGACTGATGGAGAAAAGTAATTTAACAATTTGAAGGACCCATAGTCTCTGAATTCTATTTAATAACAGCAACAACCTGCAGGCTGTATCAACACTGAAAACACCAGTTTGCACATGGTGCTGTCCATCCCTTTGTTTCCTCTCCTGTATTAGCTTAAGATAGAATCTGCATAGGCACATTCTTCTAAAATAGACTTAAAATAAGAGTGTTTTACAAAGGTTGTCATCTCTCTTGGTATCTGAATCCAGAACAGGGAGTACCAATGTGGTGACAAAGCAGCTGTTCACTTTATGAAGAGGATGGCAAGTTACAGAGCAAACCAAAATAAATCTTTGAATCTCCATGCTGGAGAAAATGGAAAAATGAATAAGTGATCTGAAGGAAAAGAGTTTTGCAGAAGCAAGAAAAAATGCCAAGTACAAAGCATGGCAAAGAAAGGGAAAGATCCTTAGGCAATGTTTAAACTTAAAATATTTCCCTTGATGAAGAACACAGATGATAGTATAGTCCAGGGAGACATCTCATGCTATAGTAGATTCTTATAAAGGATTTTAACTCCCTTAAAGATGAAGTCATTTAAATACTGAAAGAATTCAAGCTACTTAACCTTTGCACCCTGTTTAAATACCTCAGTAATACATTTTGCAGCTTTTGTTTCAACTCATTTCAAAAACTCCAAATCAAATGAAAAGGTGGCCACGATGCTTCCAACACTACATTAAGAAAAAAAACTAATATATTCGACCTTACAGAGTACAAAGGGCATTTTGGGTTTGGGGTTTTTTTTGTTTATTTCTTAATGGATGAGAAAAAAGTATGGCTGCAGGTGCCTTGAAGGCAAGTCTATAATCTGTCTTCTTAATTCCACATCAGTACTGCTGGAAGTTGTACAATAGCTATCTCTAGATATGATTTATACCACTGGTTCCACTGTAAAACCAGTAATTCATTTTCCTGTTGTAGTCAAGATTCCTGAAAAGAAGCAGAAACTCACCACATCTCAATCCCTGCATTTACTAGTACAGGAATGGTTTCGAATAAACACTGGAGAATTTTAACTTTGAGGATGACAAGTGAAGTGTTCAGATCTGTGTATGTACAAATTCAAAGTGTAACATGTCCAGAATGTTTCTGTTCTGGTCAGAAAGACTCAGTGTCTGTTATTACACAAAGCACAGAGAGCTCAGACCTGCAGGACTTCTCAGACAGAAATGGAACACACAGTCTGATTTCAGCTGATTTCCTCTTGTTAGGAGATGAAGATGGAGAATCCCATGTTGCTCCTTGGCCCCTGCTCCAAACCACCTGGTCTCATGCTTTTTAAAAACCTCCAGGGACAGTGACTCCACTGCTTCCCTGGGGCAGCCTTTCCAATTCTTGACAACCAGTCCAATGAAAGCATTTCCCTAATATCCCATCTGAACTTTCCCCTAGTGCAACTGCAGGCCATTTCTTCTTGTCCTATTGTTTTGTTACCTGGGAGAAGAGACCGACCCCCACCTTGCTTCAACCTCCTGGCATAAAATTCCCATTAACTTCTTGGGGAGAATACAGTATGTGAATTTTTGTAATGCAATTTTTCAAAGACTCTGGGTATTACAGTACATAATACCTGCCCTTTCCCCAAATTCAGTGAGAAGAGCCTGATGCATGCACGATCTCAAACTGCTTTTATATTTTGAAATGGTGGTAGGAAGCACTCATGCTAAGTAGAGGGTTCTACAGTAAACCTTATAAAACACTAATAAGCCATAAAAAAGTCCAGCCCTGTCTGAGAAACTCACGAGTTCAGAAAGATTAATGATTTAAACACAAATCATTGAAAGGCCGTCACAATTTCAGCTGCTGCACCTGCTTTAGTCCATTGCTCCCCTGCTGTCTAAATACATTGGCCTACTCAGTGCCTAGAGGAAGAAGATATCCTGCACACACTAAATTCTGTATGAGCTCATGTATCAGGGCACCAACACATGGAATAACTTAACATTATTTCAATGCCTGCCATTTATGACAAGCAGTTGCTTTTCACATGTATTTAAAATTTCAAGTTAAGTGTATTTATTGCATTTTAAAACAGCAAGAAAAACATTCCCAGGAAGATTCTCAAGTCAAAATTACTCTAAAATCGAACCAGTGGTCTTAAAATATTGCAGAAGTTATTCATAATCAGAACATAGATGTTATTAAACTGCACACCTGAGCCCTAGGTAAAAAGAATTAAGTGCAAGTGTTGACTGCCAAGGGAAAATAAATCATGTATGTTTTTGAGGTACCACTGATAAACTTGTCCATTATTTTCATTAACATATAACCATGTCAAATGCAAGACTTAAAAGCCAGAATTGTATGCCAAAAGTTGGTTCTGAGGTTTGTTCTACCAGTGCACACGCTGCTTTATCTTTTGCCACACATTTCACAAGTATGTGCTTCATGTCTGACAGAAATGCTGAGCCCACATGAAGCACAACTTGGCAACAGAAAGTTCTGTCTCCCAGACGTCCAACTAAAGGAATATCAACCATTTAACAAATTGTTATTAATTACCTACTTTGAACAGCAATTTCCAACAGAAAACAGACTGTGTTTAATGTCCATTATTGTTTTCAGGTGCTGAAGTTTATGTTCTAACTGTAAAGGGTAACATGATTTGGTACAAGAACCAGCCTTTTCTGCTCCTAATAAATTAGAGAGGCTGCCAATATGTGAGTTGCACGAATAACCAAATAAAGTGAAGATTCTTGGACATTATTACAGGCAGCAAAATGAAAAGTTTAAGTCTTGACTCTCGTTTTCCAAGGTTTCTGCTTTGTGTGTTTTAAACATGCCATGCTCAGTTTGAAAGTTAGGAGCAGCTCCAAAATTGCCTATAAAAATACTGCCCTTTCCCCTACTTATTTTTCAGGGGAAAATAAGTAAAAGAGGAAACAAGTCTTTTTACACTCTGCAAAGATTCAGAGGTTCTTCAGGGTAACACTTTAACTATTAGAACATTGGGATGTGCATTCCCCCTGGCAACACCCACACCACTGATTCCCATGGGAAATTTGAAGAGTTGCTCATTAGTTGAACTCAGCTGATCAAATGTATCCTTTTCAAACAGAAAAGCACATGGACCAATGTTTTATCAATCAGTTTGGGACCAGGGCTTAATGGTTACCATCCACAATATTACCTAAGTGAGGAACATTGTTTTAAAGAGCACTGGGGGATGAACAGATACATTTTATTACCTACACATTCAAAATGGATTTCTATGCATATTACCATGAGAAATCCAACATATTCCCAGGGTGCTGATGAACAAGCTTTTAGTCCATTTAAAATACCTGAAGCCAGGAGAGTTAGAAGCAACAGAAACAGCAAAGCTCAGCAGAGCACAGCAGAAACAGCTTATACAAAGTGTCACATTTTAGGAGGTCTGCCATTGCAGAGGTTAAGCATGATAATTAATAATTTGAAATGTGAAAGACAACTATCAGAATTTCAATACAACTCTTAGATATGGTTACACAAAACTAGTACTACAGACAAATCATATTTTAAATTGTCTTGTAACACCTACAAATCTGAACAAAATTAAAAAGCATTGGAGATAAGTTTTTAAGAAACCAGAAAGATTCATCAGCTGGTTATCCTGAGCGTGTACATCACGGAAGGATGGCAGAACAGTCTTTAAATCATCTGCTGTTCAAGTCTATAACTTTACATTACTTCAGCCAAATATTCTGTATTTGGATCACTGCTGCAACTAAAAAATAAAGACACCTTCCAGATATAAATGGAGTTTAAAAAATCTGGTAGACCTAGAATCAGATAACACTCCATGCAGGTTATTACAAAACTGATCCTATTTTCATAGCTTTCTCACACACAATTCCCTTATTAAAAAGGTGCAAAGTAAGTCTGGAGGTTTCTGCAGTGCTCAGACTCATCTATAATGCAAATCTGAACACTTCATATTCTCAATCCATTTATGTTCCAATAAATGCTTTTGTTGCACAAGTGCTTTCTCAACTTTATGTATCAATACCACCTCAGAGTCAGAAATATCTTTAAGAGGTAAGCATAGAAGTAGGTCTGCAACAACATCTTGAGTTGTATCACACTGTTTGACAGTTCTCCAAGGCTTTTTATACAGTCCAGAAGAGGCAGATATTTAAATAAACAGGTTAAAAACCAGGCCACATTATTAGTTTTTCCTAGGTTCTTCACATAAGCACATCTCACTAAATCATAAGTACAAACAGTGACTTTTATTGCCAAAGCAGTTCATTAAAGAATTTAAGACCAGGAAATAGAATAAAAGAATTCATTTTATGACCTGTTTATTACAGAAAAGAAAAAAAAAACTCAAAAAAACCCCAAACAAAACAAAACACCAAGAGTTTTAAGCAATTTTACAGATAAAATCTCACAGATTTTTGGTAACTGAGGTTGCTGTAGTTTATCAGCTTGGTTGGCTCACTGCTTTCACTATGAGAATCTACTGACCTGATTTCATAAAATCTATGAAAGACTATAATCACCTGAGCTCTCAAACAAATAACATGTTTTCTAGCACGTAGGCCACAGAACAAGCCTCCCTGTTTGTCAGAGCACAAAAAAAAAAAGACACACACACAGAACAGCACCAGAAAAATTCAGTTTAAATATTCTGCACACATTCGGTTCTTTCCACAATACAGAGTTGCTATAATAAAAACAAAACAACAAAAAAAAACCCAATAAAAACAAAGAAGTGGTGGTAATGTGTATACCAAGCATTTTGACAATGGGTAAGTAACTGAGGTGAAAGCAGTGGGGAATTTTCTGCAGCAGCATCTAGGAAGGTTTTACCTGACTAATTCTTTATCTGGAACTTCTCACCAGAAGTTACATCATCCTTATATCTATACATACATGAAGAAACAATGGCTGTTGGTGCTCTGGAACAATTGCTGTAAGGAGGCTGCTGGAGAGCTCTCCAACTCCTCTGCAGAGCCCTGCATGGATGAGGAAGGACGATAAACACCCCCAGGGTGTTAAGAAGGAATGACAGACATGCACTGATTGTGCAGCCAGAACCTGAGAGCCTCTTTATCTGAGCTTACTAACATGGATGATGGGGAACTCAGTGGGGTTTTCTAATCTGTATTTTTTTTTCTTTTAAGACATTAATCATGGGAATTCTGGCAGGATACCTCTTAAGTGCTACATATACTGCTGTTCTTACTGGCTCCACAACATTTGATGAAGCATTTCAGTAAACAGGGATGACACCACCATAACATATCCCAAATGATCATCTATGATGGCCCACTCCCAGTCATTGTTCCCAAAAGTAAGTTTATAAGTCAGTCCTCAAATACATACAAAGGATCTACAGAAACCACTATGAGCTTGTGGATCCAATTACAGTCAACCAAAAACCTTAAAAACCTCCACCCAAATACACAAATAAACCCCCCCAAAAACAACATAAAAACCTAATGTAAAAACCCTCCACACCAAGAACACCAGAAGAAATGCTTTCAGTAAATTCAGAGATGTTGGACTCTTCCTCTGTTTTTAACACAGTTCTTGATTAGTTCTTGATGATTTCTCCTGTTATTTATTCCCTATTTGATGATGATATTTAGATAATGTTTTGCTCCGTGCTTTTTATACTAAAAATGGTTCTTTCTAGAGTCTCTTGCACAACTGTAAATAGTAAAATATTGCTATCTGTCCTAATTATGTGAATTAGAAATGTGGGTTCATGGAGTGTATTTATTCAGTCATGTACAATTTTTTTTCTTTAATCTAACCCCTCTCCTAAGATCTAAACCAAGGAGCAATACATAAAAAATCCAAATGCAATGAACTTCCAAGAAAAAAGGTTAAATGTATAGTTCCCATAGAACTTATGCCCATCAACTTTTTTCAAAGCTAAGCTCATAAATTCAAATAAAAACTGAAAAATCTCTGGAGAGATTGCACACTGTAAAAGCACAAACTGTAGACATATCAGCAGTCCAGACTATTCAAACTATTACTTTGCATGTGTTCTTCAATACACCAAAAGGCTTCTCACTTCATTTCTTCCTTGCAAACCAACCCGAGGATATTTGGAGGCAAAGACCATAAAAGTCTTTGACAGTTCTCCTCTGTGCAAACAATAAATACCCTCAATAAATACTCCACCAAGTGAAAGAACCAGTATTGCTCTATCTACAGGTTCAGGGACTTAGAGGACCATGGAATGAAACACTAAACTCTCAACCAAGTCCAATCTGGGCTTGTCTTTGCTGCCCCACGTGTGCTGGTACTATAAAAGTCTAGTTCCTCTGAGCATCTGAACCCAGTCAGTGGTTCTCCCACAGCAAACAGACCCTGTGGGCTCAGGGCATTTTACAGGAGCCAGCTGAATTCAGTCTTAATGCCAAAGTAAATCCAGCAACACTCACCTATTGGAACTTGCTCTGGCTGGCTCAGTGACACAAATGCTGATGTATCATCAATCCACGACACCTGAATGTTACCTAGAAAAGGCAAAACAAATTATTATGACTATTTTTCTCTTAGGCTCAGTCACAGATTTTATCTGATGTGACATGACACAAAAGAAGAGAGTCAATTAAGAGTAACTGCACCTGCCAAGGCTTTTGCCCACTGTAAAGGTGTGCAGTGCATGCACATGGGCCTGCAACTGCTCAGAAATTTCAGGGTGCACGTGCACCCTGTACACCCTCAGACCCTCATGTCCTCCCTTCACGGGTTCTATATCATTCTTCTCAATCAATTGAAGCAATTTGCTGGGAATTTCAGCCCTTGACTCAGATCAAAGCAGCTCTTTGGGTGATGATGAACTCCAGTAGAGCGGGGCAGGCAGAAGGTTGATCACACCAATGGAGAACTCCAGTTATTGTGACACTAAATCTTCAAACTCTGGTTTGTTTGGGTCCCACCATCCATCATTTCCTGCATGTGCAATAAAAACTTAATTTGGGTCAATATAAGGACAAATGCACAAAATCATGGACCTCATTTGGAAGCTGTTACAATGGAACAGTGACTGGAAGTAAGTTCCTCTATTCATCAAGCAGTTAGTGCATTTTCTATGTGAACGGCTTAAAATGTCACATTAGCACTAAAAGAGCTCATAATCAAGCAAAAACAGAGGAAAGGATTCCCACTCCAGACACAAGGTCTTATTATAGTCTGAAATCCATTTACATCTCCTGTCTGCATCTAAGTGCTCTACTGTTAGTACAGTTCAGATATTAAAAATTGGTGCCATTTTTTTTCAGGTAGACTAGGAAATCAAGTTATACATAATGTTACACCACCATTTAACCTTCAGACATTACAAGGTTAAAAACAATGATGCAAAAAGGCTTAAAAGACATTTATTCTCAGTTGTTTAATCTATTTAAATCTAATTTAGCCTACAGGTTACAAGGTTATAGCAGTCTCTTCTGAAATCCAGCCAGATTATAAACAGATTTTCTAATTATAAAAAAATAAAAGCCTAGATAGATTTCATTTGCATGCTATGTATTTGAGTAGCCAGCTATTTAGGAGTTTAAGTTATAATCATTTTGATCATTGCCAAAACCATAATTAATTCAGTATGGTTTCTGACATTTCCCTGTACTAAAGGGCTAAGGCTGCTATTAAGGAGAGCCTACACTGAGAAGTTAGATGTTAGAATTTCTTTAAACACATTTTAGGGCAAATAAATTCAATTTCTCATAATTCAGCTTTGAAGGACATAGGTCTTTGTTGCCTGTGGGTAAGGGTCTTTACTGTAGAGAGAACACCTTTTTGGCAGGACTCTAACATTTCACAACCCAGGAAAAGCCTGACCTGATTTACAATTAAAACTCAAAACTGTGCATTTGGTAGGACCCAACACTGAGCTTCCTTTAAATGACAGAAATTACTGCACAATTTAACATTGTTCCACATTCACTGACAAGTTATCGCTCTAAATTTCTTCATGTATGAAGTTCTCCTTTTCTGCATTGCTAATTACAAAATTTTCTAGAAATCATTTGAGACATCTGAGACCATAATCTCAACGTGGCAGTGCTGCCGTGTCCCTTTCCTACATATACAGTTAATTCATTCCAATCTACCCTGAACAGACCAAAAGAAAGATCAGAAAGGAGAATTCTCCTGAACATCTTGCCCTTGGTGTAAAACAGCAAAGAGGATCAGTGACAGACAAAAAAAATCTCCTGAAGTGCAGCTACTCAAATGGAAATCAGTGCCCATATTTTCACTAAGTACTTATTTTTAATAAGTTAATAAAAATCCAACCTATTGATGGCACATCATTTTAGTCATTGTTTCAGAAAGGCTGCTGCACTCTAAATGACTTTTGACTTTGTATTTTTAGCTAATTAGGGGTTTCGATGCCTGCCAACACATGCTGCCTTTATACTCAGATTTAAACATTTTAAATATATAATTTAAAGAAAAAGTCAACCATTAAACAGTGGGTGCTGAGTTGCAGTCTGAAGAGAACCGCAGCAAATGCTCTTATGCAATTCTCCATGCTCAAGAGATGCTCCTTTCACACTGTGTCACATTCCATTATTATTAAGAAGCAAGAATTTAAGAGATAAGATTAATAAATTAGATCATTCAGCAATACTGCTAAGCACTCAGTAAATACTGAGCATTTCAAAAGTGTGGTGAAATGGGAATAAAGCTCTGAAAAGCAAATGCATCTGCACTTGCAGTACAATATTTAGCAATCAACAGAGCCACGTGCCACTTACTGCAAGGCCAATGCAGATGAGCCACACACTGCAATGGAAACGAAGAAATAAAGCAGGAAACTTCCCTCTCTACACTTCTAGAATGGATCAAATGGCTTCAACACTTTGAAGATATTGGCCTATGTGACCCTTGTCTGCTCACTGCTACACACAACATCAAGCAGTGGCCTTTGCTAAAGAAAGGGTAAGTCAAGTAAAGAATTATCAAGTGAAATAAAACACCTTCGCTCAAGTAGGAGCTGAAAATCTGATTTTTTGCTTCTGAGATGAAGGCACAAAGTAACATGCATCTTTTCCATAAATAAATTTGGAAATTCTCTCTACATAAACTCAAACACGCAAACAACTGAATCTGTCTCAAATCTACAGAATAAAATTTTCCTTTTTATACTCTTTTTTCACACATTCCCTACCTGACTGTTCCTGGCAATTAACCACTCTGTATAGATATTAGGACTATATGGGCCTTCATTTATCCAAAAAAGTATATGAATATATTCCATTTTCTTATCACACACACAAAAAAATTTGCCCACATTGACACTATGACAGAATTGCTAACAGTTCCTGGACTCTGACTGCATCAGACAATATAAAAGTTTTATTCTATGAACAAGGGTCGAAGCATATATTAAACACAATTATTCCTGGTGAATAACTGAGAAGGGTTAACAGAGCTTCCACCTTTCTGGCAGGAAGATACAGTACAAAGAAAGCAAGAATAGTTGAAGGAAACCTTGGCATGAGAAGAAGGAGGAAAGGCCAGAAATGCACAGAGAAAAAACAGAAGTAAACTTCTTAAAACCTTATTAAAAAAAATCCCAAACCAACAAAATCCAAACAAAAACACCCCACAATGAAAAAAAACCCAACAAACAAAAAAAACAACACTCAAAGCTCAGACATCTATATGAACACGAGCTTAGAAGAACACTTAATATATATGTAGTGTGCTATAAGTTTTACTTAAACTAGATTGTCACCTTTGAAAGGGACGTTTTACAATCTCCACTTTTTTTCTTTAAGAAAAGTTAAAGAGCGAGTTTGCAGTTCAGTGATTAGCAGGAACACACACCATAGTCTATAAAACTAGAAAACATGTCTCAAAAATGTACTTCAAGGTCACTTAGCACTCTTGTAGCTTGGACTACTAGAACATGACTTAAACACACAAATGACTGGCTACATTTTAGAAGTAACTACATCAGCATTCAGCTCCCTCTTAAGGACAACTCTGATGCTCTCCCAAAATACAATGCAGTCTTTGCACTGCATTTGCATGCAGTCAGGTTTGATTCCACTCACTTGGAAAAGTTTTAAGTAGTAGTTTTTACAGTACATTTATAGCATGAGTTTTAACCGAAATTCCATCAGACATTCATTATGTAGAAGTGAAGGCTATATACTAAAGCTGTATTGCAGCAAATCCGATTTTAATACCTTCAGATTTCACATCAGCATGACTAAATAAACTACAAATTTAAGAATCTAAAGAAACAGAGACTAAGCTAAGAGACTGCACAGTACTGCAAGTGCTGGTACAGTGAAACTGCATTCACCCATGAGACTATAAAAACATCCTGCAGGAACAGGTGTCCCCTTGGTATGCACAGAGTCCTGAAGGATTTCAGGATCATGAACACCCCTCTAGAGCAGCAAAGCTAAACCAGTTCCAAGGCTGACACTGCAGCCCCTTCAGCTGTTTCACCGCTTTCATTAGAAGCTTTATAGAAGATTAGAGTTCTGCTTCAGTTCATTCTAGGCTAGAACAAATTCAGAGTAATTTTTTACAGATTCCGATTAATAGTGATATTCAGTACAACAACTGATGAATTGCAAAACATTTTTCTGTAAGAGATGTAAGGAATTCGGATAATTCATGTCTGTTGCTGCCATATTTTTTGGCTTTTGGCAAATCACGTAACCTCACACTGCACTACTCTGCCCCTCTGTCCCCCTATAACTGGAAAAGCATTGGTATTCCCAGGATTTTTTGGAAGGAATTATCTGCAGTTTATTTCGAGACAACATGGCGATAAGACCTAAACAAAAACACAGATGAAGTACTACCCAAACACCAGGAGTTTGCAAATCCGAACACGAAAACATTCGGCTCCAGAACCCCGAGAAAAGGGAATTTGCAGCGGGAGCGTCGTGCGGGGTGTGAGCGCGCCCCCTGGCGGCGCGGCCTGGCTCCGTCACACCGAGCTGAGGCAGCGCCGGCGGGGAGAGAGAACTGTGAGCTGGGGGTTCAAACCCCATGGAAACTGGGAGCTGGGGGTTCAAA